GCTCAACGTACCCCCAGGGCACGTCGTTGTAACGACGTAGGCCCACTCTATGTAATGCACATCAAGTAAAGACCGTGTTTTGTGCCAGCTGTCGCGTCGGCCCCAACGAGGAGATATCGGTAGAAGCGGCGGAAGTGAGCTTTTACGCTCGTTGCTGCTTGCGTTGTCGTTCATGACAAGCCGAAACGCCGGGCGTCAAGTAGGTCCAAGGCTATGCATAACAGCCGCGTATGGCCTGTTATATATTTATTCCTATTGGAGAACCGACTCGATCCTTGCTCGCGAAAGAATGTATCCTGTTGGTACGGTGAAATGTGGAATTATTGAGGAAGGGGCATTGCGCTTCGTTAAATATTCTTTCTTCGCAGAGAGCCTTGGCGCTTCTACAATACATTGGATTTAACTATTCATTGAATTTAAAACTGCTTCTTAATTATCTATTGCTATTATTATTATTATTATAGTCCTATTTACGACTTAGAAGTTCATTAATTCTTTACAGAATTGAATGCATATTACTGCAGGAGTATTATTCGAAAGTAAATACTCGATTAATAATTACAAATAATAATGAATTTATAACTTTCACAAAAGCCATTTATAATTGATAATAACAATAAAATAAATTATAATACTACAATTTGATTTATAATTATAATGTTGTAATTTTCGTTTATTTTCAACTATAACTATTATATCGATACAACGATTCACATTATTAATACAAATGTTTGTAAATTATTCGTCAAACTACGATAGGAAACATGATAAAATATTTATCAATTAATCTAATATCTTAGTATGTCGATATACCCAATATATAAAATTTCGAATGCTATAAACTATTCTCTCACACCTATTCGCACAAATACTCGCACATCTCGCAAACCCAAAAACACAGACGAGCAAACGCACACAGAGTATTACAATATATTATCTAAATATATTCTAAAGCTTTGAATCTGCAAATTCAATCACCTTTTTAATCTAAATAGCGCACGATTTATTATATACAGTAGTTATCTAAATCAAATTTAAATAAACGTATAATACTATAGGAATAATTAAACATTACAATATATATGCATAAATTGTATGTATATGCATTATGCTTTAAAAATATCGATTAATATATTTTAGTATTTATAAGAAAAACAAATAAAAAAAAAAATTTGATACAATTGATAAATTTTAATGTAATTTACACAATTTTCACGAGTTAAAATAAAATAAAAATTTATCATGAATAAACACAATTTTCACACATGCAGATTTAAATTTAAATTAAAATCCAATCAGAGAATCTTAAAATCATATGTTATTATTATTTTAAAATTTATATAGATTGTCACATTTTAATATTATATATCATAAACAGGAATAGGTAATTTTAGCTGCAATAAAAATTTTCAATCTTTGATAAAATTAACACTGTGGTAAATAATATGTTTGGCAAATAAAAACTTCTTTAAAATCATGTAATTAAAATATTTTATTTGAATTGAACATCAAATAAATTCAATATTATTTATATTACTAAAATTTACATTTATCGAAATACTGTATTATAATTTAATACTTAACATTCGTATTGTAAATTAAATTTTCACGAAAAATTTTAAATTATCCGTATAACTTGTAATTTGTATAATGTTTAAGAACAATTTTAACTGATATGATTAACTCGAAGAATTATATAAAATATACGTATATCAGATGAAACAATTTTACTAAATCCTACTAAATTCTTTAGTTGAAAAGTGACAATAAAATTAAGTCTTTGTGAATGTTTTACAAACTAGACGGTATAGAATTAAATAGAAGCAAGTTCAGATACTATAACAATACATTAAAAAATAAAACAAAAAACAAATGAATAATTCGTATTAAAAAATGAAAAACAATTCAATCTAATTTCAAGAGCATAAAATGTTATATTGTAATTGTTAGGTTTTTCATAGCGTTGAACTGTCAAAGTAAACTTGCGAACTTTATTTCATAAATGTATTTAATATTCATGAGCTGCATAAATACTTGTTCGCATTGTCCACTTAACAATAATACTTTTTTTGTGAAACACTCATAATAGTCCTTTTTATTTATATTTTTCATAAATATATATACTAAATTTTTTTTCTTAATTATATTATCATTCATTGTCATTCATTATGACCATTTTAAATTAACTCGCCTCTTTGCTAAGTAAGGAATCAACACAATCTTGCAATTCTGTTAATCGAAAACTTCTTCAGAATTTCGAATAGACGCTCAGTTAGATTTACAGACTTTAATATTAGAGAATTTAATATTCCAAATGAAGATCTGCAATTTTCATAAAAAGTTGAAACGACAGTACAAAGTATAGTTTAGTATGAGCGTAAACATTCACCAATACATGGACCCATTTTTAACGGTGAAACACTATAAAATGTCATGATATAAGGTCTGGAATATTAAGCATCGTATCACTATAGACGTATAGTAGTATAGTTTATTCGTTGCGTATATATTCAGAATGTAACAATATTCGCATACGGTCGTAATGTATGTTCATTTCCAATTACCGCGTGCGAAGCTAATCTATGAAGCTGTCATACATAAAATATACATTATTAGGTTACACTCCTTTTTCCTTCTCCATTGGATATGGTTTTCGGTCACGAAGTAGCGAGCTATGCCTTCAATCTACTCATTGTGCACGTAAACGCCATTAGCACATTTTAATTAAACAACTTCAAATATCATCTGATAATATTGCATGTATATATATATATATATATATATATATATATATATAAATGCAGATAAGCCAAAATTGTCGAAATATATGTACGAATATATGCCTTTGAGATAGTATGTGTGGTTGTACGCGCGCCTCTGAATGCGTGTGATATGAAAAAATATATATCCAAAATGGAAAATGTAGAAGTATTATCGTAAATTTTTTAGTCTACTATATAATTATATTATTATTATATAATTATAAAAGAATTTATACTTATTTAAAAGTCGTTTTTTATCCGACGTTATCGTGCTCATAAAGCTGTGTGCCTTTAAATTGTCTAACACTAATATTGCAAAGCCCAGCTATTCAATTATTTGCTATTTAATGTAAGTCACAGTTATGAGAATAACTGCTTTTAATATGCAAAGAATTTTGATAAATTATTGATTTCACTCAAACTTCGGTTTGAATTAAACTTCAATTTTTATGATCGCCATAATATTGCTATTCCCTATTACTTTCCAAAATCATATGTCAGTATATGCACTGTTTCCATCCTTTACGTAAGGTTATACTTCGCTTTGTATTTCAAAAATGAGCAAAAGTAAGTAGTGTCATAGATTGCTTGATTAGTAAATATTTGGCGTTCGCATCAGTCAATAAAATCAATATAAATTACAATTAGTTTAAATTACATTTTTACTTGTGTGAGATTATCGATGAAAAATATCGAAACAATAATATTAAACTAACATCAAAATACATTTATATTTTTGTTATATATGAAACTTTTAGATATGATCATTTTTCTACATCAATATCTTTATTATGTATTAATACTCTTTTATATACCATTTTATGTTTTAATTTTACTCGTTACTTTAACACATTATATTAAATACCTTAATCAAAAATTAATAATTTTACAGTTATATTTAAAATATTACTTCAAATCCAATATTCCCCATCCTTTCTCTTAATAAATGCAAAGCAATAAACTTGTACGATACTTGTGACGAAAATCAAGTAATTTCGATTATTAAGTGTTTCGCAAATTAATTAGTTGCAATATTGCCGTATTAGTAGTTCAGATAACGTGAAGGTTTGCTAACGAGGCACTTATTTCTCTCTTACCGTGTAGTTGTTACTTTTCCTCATGCTACATATTTTCTAAAAATCAAAGCAATGATTATTGCTAAGAACTTCAAAGTTTAATTATGCAAATAATTTAATGAGATATACATTATATTATGCTCAAATTTGAAATACGCAATTAGAATTACTGAAAAAACTCTTTACATTATTTCTATGTTTTACATAATAGTTTAATTATAAAAAATTTAATTAAAATGTTATTCGACAAAAGGCCTTACAGAAAAATGCTCTATATTTATATCCTTTACTTAATAATTAATTTTAAATTCAGTTGTAATTTTTCGATCGATATTTAATACATACAATCGCTATTCGAGTACTGATATAATTTATATGATTTATGCCGATAATTGAGTAATTTCATTATAATACGTATGAATATTATATTATATATATAATAAATATAATATTCTAATTGTAATTTTTTTTAAATATTTAATAATTACTTATATATCTTCAATTTTTATATGTATGGGTGTATATATATATATATATATATATATATAATTAATATGCATGTAATTGATATCTATATTATATGTATCGTTATTCCAGATATATCATATAATGCTATTAGTATCAATTGTATAGTGTATAGTGAATGATAATTGTGTAGTCTATTAAATTAGAAATTTTAAAGTATTGATTATTAACTTAAGATTAAGAAAAATGTCATAGAATTCTTATTAAAAATAATGTATTAAATAAATATATTGAAATAAATATAATTTCTTATACTAAGAAGTGATCTAACTTCTAATAATAATTCGCTGAATGCTAGTTTTATTCTTATCTTATTAGAGTACTACAACTCGCAAGACAATGAATTATGAGATTTTGATAATTTAGCATAATTTCATTAATGTTACATGATACATACACATCTGTATGAATTTTGTCGAGATTAATATGAATTCGAAACAATCAATTCTTTTTCTAAGCCGAATCTTATACGTATTGATTTATGCTGCGATGATTTAATATTATATTCACAATTAATTTACTTGATGAACTACTAGCTGCAACTTATAATACATATATCAGATTCGAACTATAAATGGAAAAAGAAAATGTGGCAAATGTAATCAAAGTTTGTAAATTTCTTCAATTTTATTTACAGATATGAATTGGAATCAGATAACTTGTACTCCGTTTCCTGGTATAAGGATAATGAACACATTTACAGCTTTTCAAGGAAGGAGATGAAAAAGCAGGTTTTCTCAGCAGAGGGCGTCAAGATTGATGTAAGTACTTCAAGATAAATCGACTGACCTTTCATGACATTAAATACCCTTCTTTTAGACAAAAGTAATCAAATTTTGCTTAATTTTATTATCCATCATTTTCACAAATTATTTCATGAAAAGCTTTGTTCGTGTTCACAAGTAATATTGAAGGGAAGAGGAAGGCGTGAATAGAGAGAGAGAGAGAGAGAGAGAGAGAGAGAGAGAGAGTTAGTAAGAGTAAAGGTGGGGTATAAAGAATGAATTCATGCTCTTTATTTTCTACTGAACCAGGAGTTTGCGTCATTTAAGATAAAATCGAATGACCTGTTTGATATAGAGACTAAGGATGAGCAGAATCCACCATGAGAGCTTTTCCTCGTATGAGACGTAAGGCTTAACCTTTAATAGTCCCGAAGTTTTTCGTGAGCTTGAGTCAGTTGATCTCTTCAAACAGTGGCAAGGGTACAAGAAGTAGTAAAACTCCTCGGATGGTCAGAGAGCTCGAGTGACCGAGATTATCTAATGCGCGGCACTAATGTACTTGGCTGAACGATTATTCGAGGAATATAGTACAATTATCGTTATACCATTTAATCTATATTGTATTTTCATAAAAATTGATATTTAAAAATGTACTTTGAAATATACATTGTGGATATTTCGATAATGCTCACTGATTAAAATTATAAAACATAAGTAATAAAGATGTCTAAATTACTAAATCAGTTGTACAATTAATTAATTTCGTTGTTTAAAAAATTGTTCATAATAGTTAATACTATTTATTAACTGTATATAAATATTTATCTTTTATCTAATAAACATATTTAATGTATAAGTAAATGACAGTGTATAAAATAATATAAAATTAAGATCTCCATAATAATAACAACAATTGGTGTTTTATTCTACAAAATACCTGAAATGTATTTTATGTTGCATATTCATTCTTAATCCTTTACTAAGTTTATAAAATAGATATACGATTTATTGAATTTTTACAAATTTATCTTATTTTATATTATTTGATCACACACTGAAGTTGTGTTTTGATTTTCTCGGCCCATATATGTCGATACGAATGTGTTGCGTTACTTCGACAAAGTGCACTCTAGAGCTTGATCTACGACCACCATCTGTACGAAAAATCTATCCGTTTCCTTTCTCCCACAAGTAGTGGCGAGTAAGAGTTTGTAAAAGAGTAAAAGTCTATATGAAACGGCAAGTAACTGCATGAAAAAGTTCGTGTGAGTGCAATCGGATCGTTTAAAATTGATGTCAGGAAAGTTCAATTTGATTGCTAGTTTTTATATATAGCTACATCCTACTATCATCTCTATTTTCTACTGTTCACTACTACTCTCTCACTGTTTTACGCCACCATTTTTATCCTTAGAAGTGGGAATTATAGAAAGGCGTGCAAGTCTTTGATTCAAACTGATCACACCACACGAAATTTAAAACAACCTAGGAATCCTCAAGTAAATATTAAAAGCTGACGGTTGAACTGTTCATATATTTATATAAGAAAATTAATCGTATTATAAATTAATAATGGAAATTATTTTTACTTTTTTTTAAGTTATGAAAATAAGAATAAACATTATTTTCGTAAATATTTTCTTAATTTTTTAACTAATTTAAATAATCATATACTGCAATTCAAACACATAAATGGATATTCTAAATTGAAACTTAGATCGACATTTTCAGAATATCAACAAATTCATTCAGAACTGACGGCGTTTATATTAATAAGTTTAAATTGAGGAAATCTTCAAATATTTTAATTTCTATGAAATAGTTTTAGTGCATTTAATTGATTGTATTTAATTATTTAATTATTACTCAATATTATTAAACGTAGATACGTATATCAATTTATAAAAATAATAATTAGAATATAACTAACATTAATTTAAATAATTATTTAAAAATATACATAAAATTAATGTTCTCTTTTATTCTATGCAACTTTAACACGTATTATCGAATTTCTACTATCTAAATATTATCAAATAATTGCTGTTAATACACTTTCCTATATAATAAATGACATAATTTTCAACTAAAAGGAACACAATGGAAAATACAACCATTCGTTAACTTTAATATATTTTTTCTAAAGCTACTTTAATCTCTTAACTCTTAAATCACTTAAATGGTTTCACAATTGAATAAATATTCTTTTTAAAATCAATAAATCATGAATTTATATATGTATAGAGCAATTTATTCCTATTAAAAATCGAATTGAATTTTTTTTCATTAATCAAATAATTATTAATTCCTTTCGTTTGAGTTGAAATACTTTAGAACTACTTTTTTTCTTCCTTTTTTTGAATCATAGACACAAATATTAATTAAAAATAATGAAAATCTTAATTTTTAAATAATATTACTATAGAAAAATTGTTTTCTCTCATACTTCCCGTGATTTCATTGAAACACTTCAATAAATTACATCATACTGTTAGACACTATTCTAGTGACATACCTACATGGGATCACGTTACAATATATTGAAATTGATGGCTCTGGAAATCATTTAATTTTATCACAATTAATATTATGACATCTTCACCAACTATTATTAACGTATGACTATGTTACGTATAAATAAATATGTTTTTTTGGTGAAACCGCTTCATTTGTTAATGTAGATGAACTATGTATACGATAAGTTTTCTCATTGTTTATGTTCACTCTAAATTCAACACAAGAAATATGCTCGCATATACCTAATATGAATAATAAATTTTGAGACGTTATCTCTATAGCATTGATAACAATAACAATGAACTTCTTTAAAAATATGTAATAATTATTTGTGAAAATTAAATAAATACATTTTAGAGGATATGAAATTTTTATAGTTCTATACACAGAATGGAGTACAAATGAAGAATAAAATACAATAATAAATAAGAAATCAATATTAAATTAGTTTTATATACCATAGTAGAGTATAAATAGTGTTACAAATACATATTCTTGATGTATAAGTTAATTTTCATTCACTATGCCGAGGTTCTATTTTTTTATTTTTTTTTAAAGTATCACAATAAGGTTAAAAGAGTATATATTCTATATTAATTTTAATTTCTCAACTTCTATTTTTATGTAATTTAAGAAGAAGAAATTACGTTAATTTAATTATGCTTAAATTTTATAAAAAAATCATGTAACATTTAGATAACAAATTAAAAATATATCAAAGAATGTAAGTGAACGAATTCAGTATAATACATTATATATATAAAAACATTAAAATTATCAAATAATAATTTTAAATTTTCCTATAAAAAGTCTTTTATATATCGATGTAATGATTGATCTTTATGTGAGAACAATAAGAAGAAACATATATAGTAGTTTATTTTTAGCTTTTAATATATTTTCGAGTAGCCCACTTAACCAGAGATCATTAAAGTATCAGAAAATTAAATGAAAAATTAAGCATTTGTAGAAAATATTCGTTTGGCCATAGATATCTGAAATATTGATCAATTTTGAATAGTCTGTAATTAGATATCAAAATAAGCTTGTGAAATGGCTGAAGCTAAATAATAGAGTTCAATCGATTTATCTAGATCTATCGAGTGTTCAGTCGTCCCACTCAATAAAAGCAACACGGATTGCCTCCCCTCGAAATTGCAAATTGCTTACATTTGCATTATTCATTAGGCCAAATCGATTGACTTTGCCCGAGTATCATAAAACGTGGATCGAGGCATGTACCGCGAAGTCCCGATCAGGATTATACGAAGGTATTGAGCTCCTCATGATTTCCTCGGGATTTCCACGGGACATTAAGGTACCTCTGGAGACAAGCGATAATGCGTAGAAACTGCAGTATTTTGAATTTTTTAAGATAAAAACATGAATATTTAATTTTTCAATTAATTTTAAACTATTGCACACGAAAATTTATGCTCCTTTATGATTTTATTTTAATATCTGTTTTTATATTTTAGTTATTATAGATCTTAGAACATGAACGTCAACATTTACACTATTTTACATAAAGATAGTGTTTAAAAATAATAAAACTATTGTAAACATAAGATGAGTGTCTATATTTCATAATACTCTATTATTTAATATTTTAATTTATAAAGCCTGTTCGCCAAAAAATAGATACATTATTATTTCATTATGCTAATGCCAAGACTTTATAATAATAACATTTGTTATTTAAAAAATTTGCATTAATTGATGTAAAATGAATACAAGTTACAAAAATTATTAAAAAAAATAGTTTATCCGTTAATTTATAATGAGTTGAGTAATGTTTTTTAAATTAAACTGAATGAATTACAAAAATAAACTTTATCTCTATATGTAAACGCATAAATTATTGAGATAGAACTACATAGTCGTAATAATATTATTCAAACTATTCGTACATTATTATATAAAAGTTTCATAGTCTATTAAAAGTAGTAACGTAAAAACGACGAAACGCCAATAAAAATACTTTGCAATCGCGTATAGAAAGTAAAGATCTGTTGATAACAGAACTTGCTTTGAACGTCAAAAGCTATAATATCTCGAGAAAGAGTTTTTTTCCTATCTAGTGCGGTTGTGAACGCAATCGTCAGAGACGAAACGCGCCGAAATCTTACCGAGACATCGGAATCCTTTCGGTAAACGAGTTTACGTTAAATTGGTCGTTCCATGCTGCCGCTTCATGGAAAAGAGAATAAGAAGGACAAAGTTTTGACAAAACGATGAAAGTGGAAAAACGATTCTCTCCTCTCGAGGTAGAAGTAGTCCTTTTACTAGAATAAGTGAAGAAAAAAAAGAAAAGGTATAGTTTAACGCGTGAAAAAGTTAGGTAAAAGAAATAGAAAAAAGATACATTTTCCTCAGTGATAAAAATCATCGAAACTTTTCTTCTTTTTTTTCAGTCTCTTCTTCTATTTCTTCATCTATATTGATTTTTTTATGAATGACTTTAAAAGAAATGCTCCGTTAGAAACTGTTATAAAAAAACTGCTGAGCTTCAGAATAAA